AGCGAGACTCTGTCTCAAAAAAAAAAGGATCTGGAACTGTGGATGGATAGCAGTGTTAACATGTTGACTGCCACTAGAAAACAAATTTTTTTCCCCAGGACCACAGTGTTTTATTACAAAAATAGAATAAAAACTTTGAAAACAAAATGATCTTTTCTAATTTAATGAAAAATTTGTTATTTTTTATTGTTTTCTGTGTGTGAGTTATATGCAACTTGAAAAATAGTTCGTAAGCATAAAGGTAAAGAGATGTGTGAGTTACATTGCTTCCTAAGACCTCAGGCTCAAAACTAGCATGAGTTAAATACAACTCACATGGCAGTTAATACTTTAAAATAAGAAGGACTGAATAAAAGCTGGTTGAGAAACATCCTCTTCCATACCTTCTCACCTCCTTTCTATCCCCAGTAGAAACCCAGAGGTTAATCTCTAGAAAAGGTAAAAGAGACAGTCTTTGGACTATGGGTTGACTAGTAAAGTTGAGGTCACGGGCACTACAATCTAAAAATAGTACTGTCCTGAAAATATTATAGCTGAATGAATGCCAAGAACCTACTCAGCCATCTTACATCATTTAGATATAGGAATGCTGGCAGCCAGTCCTTTCCTTTCAGGCAGCAGACTGGAAGAGTAGTCTCTGGAAAATGCCCACAGACAAGGAAAACCTAAGGACACTTACATCAAGGGATCCCCAACAAAAGGCCTCCCAGTATTCTACAGTATTGCTGAAAGTCAATAAACCCTACCGATATATTCACACTGAAACCCCACCTATATATCCCAAACCTTTTTCATTCCCAAATAAAAATCTACAACCGAGGATTACACGACATCTGAGAAAAACCTAATATGTAGAATAGAGAACAAAGAAAAGAAAAGGTAACCTGGAGAAAACAGACATGAGATATTTATAATCCATGAAACAACAGGATACTATGATTGATTGATTGATTGATTGATTGGGGTATTATGTTTTAAGAAGAACTATTCAAAAAAGAAAAATGAGGGTGGGTGTGGTGGCTGACATCTGTAATCCTAGCACTCTGGTAGGCCGAGGTGGGAGGATTGCTTGAGGTCAGGAGTTCGAGAGCAGCCTGACTGAGACCCCATCTCTACTAAAAATAGAAAAATTACCTACTCAGGAGGCTGAGGCAGGAGGCTTCAGCCCAGGAGTGTGAGGTTGCAGTGAGCCCCAATGATACCACTGCACTCTACCCGGGGTGACAGAGAGAGACTCTCAGAAAAAAAAAAGGAAAAAAAAGAACTTGTAGAAATGAAAACGTTCATGCCAAAATCGAGAGATTGAAAGATAAAGCTGCAGAAGTCTCCCAGAAAGAACAAAAAGACAAAGAGATGGAAAGAAAAAGAAAAAAAGAGAAAAAACCTTAACCGGTCAGTACAAGAGGTCCAATATCTGAATAACAAAATTCCAAAGAAAACAGAGGAATGAAATAATTAATAGTAGAAATCTTCCTTTACTGCCAAATTTCCAGATCAAAAGGGCCCAACAAGTACCCAGGAAAATGGACAAAAATAGACCACAGAAAGGCACATCATAGATAAGGTTCAGAACCTGTAGAACAATGGGAAATCCTAACAAACTTCTGACAAAGAGGGGAAAAACATACAATAGACCAAAATCCGAACAGTTTAGGATTTCTCAGTAGTAGTACCACTGGATATAAGATGGTAAGAGCAATGTCTTCAAAGTGGTGAAGGAAAATTTCCAACTTAGAATTCTACTTTTAGCCAAACTATTAATCAAGAGAGAAGCTCGAATAATATTTTCAGAATGGAAGGTTTAATAAAGTTTACTTCCTATAAATCCTTTCTCTGAAATCCACTAGAAGATGTCCACCAAAACAAGAAAATGAAAGATATGAAATCCACTGAAGACTATAATCACTCATGCCCTCCAGTGTTGTACCAGCTTTTTAATCTGCTAAAACTACAGAAGGATGTGCTCCACTAAGACAAGGGAATAAATTGAGAAATATGAAAATATAAAAATCAAGAAACAGAAAATCCAACCCTGGAGAAAGGCCAAGAAAATCTCAGGGATGACAGCAAAATCAGAAAGATAACAGTTCTGCAGCAGGTCTGGAGAGCAAAAAGCCCCAAAGAAGAATTGTGCTCTTCAGAAAAAATGTCTCTTTCCAAAAATTAGAACTGATAAATTACTTAATGTGATTGGTCATGTAGACAAACACACTGAAAGGCTTTTGAAAGGTGTGGGAAGAATGAGCAAGAGGTACCAAAGAAAGCCCCAAACACATGAAAAACAAACACAATTATTACCCTTAGGAAAAACAAAAAAAAATAGGGAGTACTCCCCTAGGCAACTTAAAAAATAAATAAATATTGCAAAATAAAATTAAAAAAACTGCTCAGTTATGATTAATATTTACACACATGTAATCATGTAAATACTAAATAACTAAAGTTAACAGAGTCAATAGGTAATGTCTAAATTACTTGGCTGGGTGCAGTGGTTCGCACCTGTAATCCCAGCACTTTGGGAGGCCAAGGTGGGAGTATTGCTTGAGGCCAGGGGCTTGAGACCAGCCTGGGCAATATAGCAAGACCCCATCTCTTAAAAAAAATAAATGAATAAAATAAAATAAAAGACTCCAAATATAACAGGATATTCTTGTTTCTCAGAAATAGAGGTATTTTTAAATGCCATAAGAAATAACTAGAAGAGTTAAAAGCTGCTACAGAAGAGGACTGAGGAGGATTAGGGCAAGGAACAGGTATATATTTTGTCATAAGCATTTTGGTAGTTTTAGACCAGACATAGTTCCTTTGCAATAATAAAAATTAATTTTATAATAAAAAATATAAGACTTATTAATAAGTGATGCTATAGCCAGACTTTTTTAAAAAAACAAGGTAAATCTAATGTATTAATATGGATAATATCCATGATACATCCTTATGTTAAAAGAGTGAGTCACAAAAGAGTGTAAATAATGTGACTGTATTTGTGTATCAGTGTTTGCTTTTTGTTAAAGGAACTATTTCTTTCTTTTTTTTTTTTTT